AATGCGTTCATCCGCAGTCAGCAGTGTTTGGCATCAAATTGCCGCTTGCTTGACTGAATTCACAGTAAATGTTGTTGTTGTTGTGGCCGTTGCTCCATTTTGTTGTTTAGTGCCTGTTTCCGTTCAAGTTTTCTTCTTTTACAGCTCATTTAACTGATGGCGGAAGTGCCTCAAAAATGTTGTTGCTGTGGCAAAGAAAGAAAAGTGTTAAACAGCTGGCAAGTTGAAAAGCGCATTTTTTATTCCATGTACATAAGCTGAACTTTATAAAGCAATCTATCTACGACTTCACATAAGGCAATTGCAACAACAACAACAACAACAACAAATGTATAGACTGCAGCTGCCACATCTTGTGGGAAACTGTAATTGAATCAATTCGCCATTATGCTGCCCCACAGCCTTTGTGGCAATATTCAATCAAAGCGAGCAGCGCAATGAATTCTACTGAGACCGTGAACCCGGATCTCTGGCCAAGCCCTCTTGTCCATCAAGGGAGCGTATGCATTGGAATTTGATAGCAAAGCTGTTAGCTCTTTAGAAATACCTTTAAAGGCAATACCCTCAAAACTGAATGGGTTTATTAATGTTTCTATGTACTATACAGGGGGGAAAATGAACTGGGCTCAAAAAGAGGCTCTACTTCCCAAGCTTCAACTATCAACAGAAGAATGCGAAGTTGTACATTTATGGTTGCAAAGGCTTTTACATTACATTTTATTTAGTCATTTTATTAAATTACTAAGTTATTGTGTTTATTATATTTCATTTATGCTGTACATAAAATGATTTGCTAATATATATATATTTTTTTTAATGAAATAAGATTATCGAGTGCTGATATTATTCAATAAGTGAGAAATAAATTAGGAATTCAACGTTAAAGGAAATGACAGAAGAACGAATTTTATTTTAGTTTTAAATTTCATTTGATTTGTAAATTGCCAATCATGCTTTTGATTATTTGACTAAAGATTATAATCTAATGATTAGATTCTAATCAATTAACTGAAGCATTTGAATTCCAATGCTAAAATAAATTATAAACGAACCACGTTTTGGTTGCAATGTACTAACATATTCTCAATGAACATATGGTTGCAATATCATGTATAATAAATTAGATTTAAGATTAAGATTGATACAGAAGGCTGAGGAGCAATTGTTAAAGGGAATCGGGAGCGTGTAAAACCGAAAATAAAGTAAATAGTCTACTCGTATATGAAAGAAACTCTCTGTTTTACAAACAAGACATTCATGATATCAGATCAATAAGAGTTATTATACAAAACATATACTTAAAATAAAGTTAACTAATTTTGAATGTTTTTTTTTTGCTCCCCATTGTTAAACATAATGACCAAAAATTATTCAATATTTTATTCGATGAAAAGCGGTTTGCTTAGTTTAGAAGACTCTGTATGTATATTCTGTATATTTTATGTTACTATGTGATAGAAAAACTATGAAAAGGACAGATGATGGAAGATTTAAAAGAAAAAGCAGGCTGGAGTAGAATGAGAAACGGAGATTGGAATGCATGGAGAGCAGACAAAAGACCGATTCTATACGTTTCTGGTGCTTTCTAACCCGCGAACAGAACAGAATTCCAGCACAGGATGTACAAAGAAAGTGTAAGGAAGTTGGCCATCAATTAATTCTTTCCAGCAATAATTAACAAATACATATCTCTGACCATAGTAGTTGAAAGGCAAAGATTGAAATTCGATTTGGCACCAAAAAGTACTACAATCGTCTTTGGCAATCGTCTGCATGACTAATAGAGACCTATTTCTATGAAAACATACACTTGGAACAAACCAAGACTTCAGGCAGAATAATGTAATAAACAAAAAAAGAAGATAGAATTAGTTTCACGTCATCTGCATAAATAGGTTTACGAGCGACAACTTGTCTCTCAAATGCTGTAAATTTATTTCGCTTGTGTAGATGTTCGTAAAAAATGCATTAACTTTTGAATGGTGGCTGAAAATGCTTAAATATTTGATTGAAAATGCTCGGCAAATTGTGTGTTCTACATACATAATTGATTTCTATATACTCGTGAATACTATATAGTATATGTATATGTACATTTGACAAATGCCATTAGTAGTTGGCATCAAAGCATGTCAGTGACATATAAACACATTTATCAGCTATCATATAATGCCCTATAAATCGGCTCACACTGACACCCAGACATAAAGTCGGGCAATAACAACAGCAACAATTGGCTTGGCTGCCAACATGCCAAGGGCGTTAAATATCAAATATTGTGCGAATTTCATTTTGTTGCTAGCGACTGGCCTTGCTCGAATTTTTGATTTTCTTCTTCGTGTTTGGTTCGAGTGCTGGCAATTAGAGCAGCCGTGGAAGCCGGCAAAGGAAAAACCAAGTACTAGTGAGATACGCGGAAAGAGAAAACATTGAAATGAAAGCCGAAAATAGCAAAACTACAAACGCTGAAAATTATTCCAGCAAATTTGCCTAAGCAGCTGCCTTTGTTGTTGTTGTTGTTGTTGCCGCTGCAGCTAATTTCAGTTTTTCATGAATTTCCAAACTAAATGAGCACAGCAACAACATCAGCATTGTATAGTCGTACCTACAAACACACAAATACAGTATACTCGTGTAGCTATATAGTAAGTATGTATAAAGAAACTGGACGTTTCACATGAACGCTTCAGTGCCTCAAACCAGCCCCAAGCACCAAAACCAGCAGAGTGGATAGCGAAGCTTCAAACGTGCTGGCAAAAATGATTTACTGGCCAATACTTACGAGCATTATGGCCAACGGGTGGTGGGGGGTTCGGGGAGTGCATCCAAGATCGCTTTACGACTAGTGTAGGTGTGGGCTGTGGTATTTGATATTTTATTTCAGCTTGAAGTGGAGCTTTTTTTCAAAAAGCAGGCAATAGGATTGACCAGAACGTAAATACCATTTACCATTTATTAAATTAGCGCATCTAATTGACTCTAATAGTCGGAGCAGACGACTTGAATACATAAATCTAATTTGTCACTTAATGGGAAATATACACACACACACACACATACATACACAGAGAGACAGACGGACAGACAGACAGAGTGCACCTAAGTACTACTTGTATGTGCTTATATAATTTGTCATTATCAACTATTAATGCGCTTATAATTCAATTAGTTGGTGCGCTCCGGTAATGTGCTGGGCAGACAGCATTCAGCACGGAAAACTTCAACATCGGAATTCCCATTCAATAACAATAATCACACAATTCCAATTTACATCCATCTATTGTGCCTGGCTCGGGTTCGTCGTTCTTACTAACATATTGGCATATAATGTGAGCCAAGGCCTCTGGTTTTGAAACCGTTCGGTTAGGTGTTTCGTAACTAAAATCATTTAACTGCTTCAGTTCTCTATTAACGTTTAAGGTTGATTTTTAATGAGTATTCCAGACCCATTCCCAATGGGATGTCAATTGTGTCGGTTTTGAGTTCCACTTTAACAATAAAATATTGTTTTGAAATCGGTTCGGTTCGGTGCGGTTAAGTTATTTGCAGTTCTCTATAACTGTTGAAGGTTGCTTTTTAAAGAGAATTTCAGAGCCATTTTCAATTGAGATCTATTATGACTGTTTTTGGTTCCTTGTTCTCAATGAAATAGTTTTTAAAAAACCGGTTCGCTTAAGTTATTTGCAGTTCTCTATAACCGTTTAAGGTTTTTTTTTCAAATGAGTATTCCATACCCATTCCCAATTGAGATCCATTGTGCCTGCTTTTGGTTCCTTGTTTTCAATGAATTATTATTTAAAAAATCTCTGCGGTTAAGTTATTTGCAGGCCTTTATAACCGTTTAAGGTTGTTTTTAAATGAATATTCCAGACCCATTCCCAATTGTTTCTCAATTGTGTCTGTTTTGAGTTCCACTTTGAAAATAAAATATTGTTTTGAAATCGGTTAAGTTATTTGCAGTTCTCTTTAACTGTTGAAGGTTGCTTTTTAAGGAGTATTTTAGACCCGCTTTCAATTGTGCCTGCTTTGGGTTTTTCTATTTGTGAACCAAAGGCTCTTGTTTTGTAACTGGTTCGGTTCGATTAGTTGATTCTGATCTGCATTCATTTATATTCTTCAGCCCTCTATAAACGTTTTAGGTTGCTTTTTACAGAAAACTCCATTTAAACATACATCTATTGTGACGATTTTGAAGTCTTCTATTATGTTAACCAAACCTGCTAGGGACAGGTTCGATTAGTTGGATGGCATCTACACCTATTTAGTGTTCCAACTGTCCAAGCGCGATACAGATTTCGAATTGTGTCTGGTTTCGGGTTTTCGTTTTAGATAAAATATTGCCAAGGTTCCTCTTTTATGAGAGTTTCCGAGTCCTATTTTCTAGATTGATTATGCCTTCGTTGGGGTCGCCATTTAAGCTTAAATATTGAATCTTAACTTGTTCCTTATTGCAGTTCAGACTGTAGCTCCGTGTCACTAATAGGCGTGGAGGTCTATTAATATATTTTCGCGCTTAAAATGCAGATATATTTTGCGTGCTCATGGACATGGATTTAATTTGATCACACTTTTTGTTTGGGTTCGAGTCAGTGGCTGGCACATAAATTAAAGTTCTTCTTCTATGCTTGTAGTCATTAAATTGTAGTTCTAATTCCATTTGAAATTTCACCCAATTGCCAAAATTATGCCACCGGCACTGGTTGGCTGGCTTGCACCCACCATTAGATTGCTCATCCAAATTATTAATCGCAAGTTCATTGCTCACCAATATTGGAAGCACGTTAGCTAGCAGCGGATTGGATTTGGCAAATTTCAGCAAACCGCAAACCCTTAATAAAATAGAGTGAATAGTCTTCTTTACAATAAAATCACTCTATTGGTGCCAAACCAATTGATAGCTTTTAAGTTAAGTTGAACTAAATGTTAGCAGAAAATTGTAAAAGTCCAACCACACTGCACAGTTGTCTAACCACCTCTCTCTTTTTTGCATTTTCTTGCAGTCGCGGCCTCACGCCTCCACATCGTGTCAAATCCATTTCGATGGCCACATTCACACAGGACGAGATCGACTTTCTCAAAACGCATGGCAACGAGTTGTGTGCCAAGACCTGGCTGGGACTGTGGGATCCCAAGCGTGCCGCACATCAACAGGATCAGCGCGAACTCATGATCGATAAGTATGAGCGTAAACGCTATTATCTGGAGCCAGCTAGTCCTCTCAAATCGCTGCCCAATGCCGTCAACCTGAAGTCGGCTTCAGCAAGCACAGCCACGGCAAATGGCCAGCAGAATGGCTATCACAATGGCAGCAACAGCAATGGCTATGCCAGCATTCATCTGACGCCGCCTGCCGCACAGCGAACCTCGGCCAATGGCCTCCACAAGGGCACCAGCAACGGCACCAGTTCGTCCACGGCCATTAGCCGGCCGCAACACCATCATCTCCAGCAGAACAACCATCAGCATCACAATGGCCATCACGATGCCGCATTCAATATTTCCAACGGCCTAAACGGTCTGACTAGCCTCAACAGTGCTGGTTCCACATCGACGGGCGCCCTTTCGGATACGAGCAGCTGTGCCAGCAATGGATTTGCTGGCGAGACGGACTTTGTTGCCGATTTCGGGACAGCCAATATATTTGATGCGACATCGGCACGTTCCACCGGCTCGCCGGCGGTGTCCTCGGCTTCATCGGTCAGCTCCACCAATGGGTATGCCAAGGTGCAACCCATACGAGCGGCTCATCTACTCCAACAACAACAACAACAGCAGCAACAACAACAACAACAACAACAACACCAACAAATGATGAATGGCAATGGCACGGAAAACTTTGCGGACTTTGAACATGCGCCCATTTACAATGCAGCTGGTAGGTTGGTGGCAACAGGGCGCAACGTGCAATATAGACTTGTTGTAGTTGCTGCCTCTTAATTATAAGTTTTTATTAGGGTCGAGAATGAAGCTATTCGCAAGAGTGGAAAGGCTAATGGTCGGGGCGGGGTGGGCAGGAGGAGGAGGGTCACCTCAAAGCCCAGTCAAGTTATAATGCACGTTCTGTTCTGCGCGACTAATTAAAACAAAGCATGCATGCCAGCATTTGCAATATATTTCTCAAACACTCTTGCACATTTCCCTGAACTTGCATTGATTTTCAAAGACGGTTGAACAGGTTTGCAGTTTTTTGTTAAATGAAGGCCAACATGATGAAATTCAAGAAGAAGAAAAGTCACTGTTAATTATGAAGGAAACGTGTTTTGCAAAATTACTTCAAATATCCGTACTTCTAGAGCTGACAGATGATATTGAAACGCTTCTCAACTAGAGCTTGGGTACACCTTTTCAACCAAGCTAAGTTTTTTATAGAAAATTCGATTTAACTTTATCTTAAAGTATCTGCATTAATGTCTTAGTAAAAATACAATTTTAAATAATATCGTTTATATATATGTTGTCACAATTAGCAACTAATTTACAACAGAACCCCTTTATCAGCACTTTTCCACCATTTATCCAAAGCTTTTCAGTTTCTCCCAAGTTTCTCACTGCTAATTGGCGCACAACAATTGTCTAAGCAAATGAATATGGTTTTCTAAATAACGCAAACTTGCCAATCACAAATTGTTAATAATCCAAGGTTATTTAATTTTTTAAAAACAAAATGTGAGTTTCCATTTATATGATTAAATATATCCAAACCCAATGCCAGTACAATAATTTCATAACTTCAAATTAACAAATTGTAAGTAGTCATTAATTAATAATTGGGGTCAGCCACGCCTTCTTCTCTCTGTTACATACATTCGCATTTGTGATTTAAAAAATAATTAATTATTTAGTTAATTAAAAATTAATTAATTAAAAATGTTCGCCTTTACTCACTGATTAAGGATATATATAAATTTTGTCCTTAATCCTTACGAAACAGACAAAATTTCAGCTTGAGTTTTATTTTTGATCAAAAAAATAAAACTCAAAGAATAATCATTATTTTAGAAGGTTTATTTTTTGCTCATCAATAATGATTATTGGTTAATTTTTAAAGTAAAACTCAAAATTAAATCGTTAAAAAAAAAAAAAAAAAAATAATCATCATTTGCGGTCCCTGTTAATTATTTATGTTCTGACCACGATATGATTAGGATAAAGAAAATAATAATAATGTCTTTCTTACCGATGTTTTGATATTTCTACAGAAAAGTACAAATTGCTTTGAAAGAATGCTTGTTTCTTTCGAGAAAATATAACCAAATTTTGAGGCCCTTAGTGCATACTTAAAAGTTAAATAAAACATACAAATTTTTCTTCTTTTGTGAAAAAGTTTCCACCATGGTTCAATTGTTATATCAAAGAGCGTTGTAAATATTTTCTGGTTGCTTCATTGAACTTTGTTTTAATCTAGTTAGAAATACATTACAATCTAATTCCTCTGTTTATTAATGATTATTTTTCAAATGAGTTTTTATATCTGTTTAGAAAGAGGTCCCGCATAGCTTCATTCTCTGCCCTTCTAAGCTGCAAAGTGTTTAAGTTAAATTAATATTTTATTTGCAAACATTTACACTTAAGTACTTTTGCCTTTTTGGAACTTTGACAACTAAATTGAAAATCAAGCCCAGAACTGAAATGCATACCACACCTAAGGTCAATTGTTTCTAATAATGTTCAATAATGGTTTTTCTGCTGCCAAGTTTCTTTCTTTGCATTTCTCAGCCGGCATACAAATTGAAAAAAAAAAGACACAGAAATGCAATTAAAATTCAATGCACACGTTTTATTTTATTTTATTTTTTGATTGACTCCCTCCCTTGCTATGCGATTGCTTTTTTGATTTTCACTGCACTTAACTTTTATTTAAGCGCTGCGATGGCATTAAGTATGCATTGTATGTATGTGCGAGTATGTATGTTTGTGTGTCTCGTCTATTTTGCTTTCCTTTCAATATTTACCAACAACTTTTTTCTTTATTTTCCTAACTTTTTTCCTCTCTCTCTCTTCGTGCGCGCGCTTTGAAAATTAAACAACAACAACCACTACCACTACCAATTACTATTTTGTGCGCCTTAGCAATGAATTATAAACTTAATAGTGTAAGCAATTTGCAAAATGGCCAAATCAATGCCAATGGCAACAACAACAACAACAGAGGCAACAGCAGACATAGTTTTTACAGCTTTAGCGAAAGCACGCCAAATTTCAATGATCCATTCGATCAGATCTATCTGGGCGGTGGGGCGCAACAATTTGCAACCAGATTTGAAAGTGATTTTGTGGCACAGCCACGCCCACAACAACAACAACAACAACAACAATCAACAAACTGCTGGCCACAGCCATTTGATTTTAATGACAACACCAGTTGGTCATCTATGCCTGAAGCTTGGAGCGTTTGGCCAACGACAGCAGAAGCAACAGCAGCAACAGCACCAGCAGCAACCACAGCCAGCAACTGCACTTGCAACTGTGCCAAGCAGCAGCAGCAACAACAACAACAACAGCCTTATAGCTTGCTCAGCAATGCACAATCCAGCTCCTCCATAGGCTCCAGTTGCAGTTATCGCTACGCCAACAACTTTGTCGAAGAAGCTGCCAAGCCACCAATTGCTGCCACAGCAACAGAAGCCGCAGCGGCAACAGCAGCAACAACAACAACAGTACTCGCAACATTGTCGCCTTTAAATCCATTTCTGCCTTATTTATTAAATGAGCAGAACAGCAACAACAACAACAGCACCAACATTGTAAAGGCCGCAGAAACTGCTGAAGTCTTCAATTCATTCTCAAATGATTGCCTCGTTTCCCAAGACGGCAGCGAAACTGAAACCGATACGACAGCAACAACAGCAACAACAACGACAATAAACACAGTTTGGAGTTACAATAATTTAAATGCAAATAATCATGATTTCTTTACGTGGAGTAAGTTTGTTTCGTTTCGTTACGTTTTATTTCGTTTTTGGGTTCCTTCCCTAAATCCGTTGATTGTTTGTTTCCTTCGCCATTTAGTTTCTGTGCTCGTTTGCCATTACTTGTATTTTGCGTTGTTGTTTTATTGCCTTGATTTCGTATATAAGTATAGCCGATATACCGATTCCAACGTTGTTTGCTGCCTCTAACTATAGTTGCCAACTTTTCAATTTACTGCTCCCAATTATGACTGTTATAGGATTTACTAATTATATTCGTATTTATTTCTTTAACAGGCGCGCCCCTGCAGAATGGCCACAAGTCGAACGGTAGCAACAACAACAATAATAATAATAATAACAACAACAACAACAACAGCCCAAAGGGGATTAGTGCGCCCAGCGAGGATCGCTATGCAGCGCTCAAGGATCTGGATGAGCAGCTGCGCGAAATCAAGGCCAGCGAAGCTGCCGCAGCAGTGGAGGCAGCCACACCCCACACTGTCAATTGCGCAGATTTCTTATTTGGCACTGGTAAGCTAAACAATTGGGTCACAAACGAATGCTATATAGCTATCGAATCATAAACAATAGTTAGTTTAGTTATCTTGCCTATCTTTGAAGAAAATATGAGCAACATTCAAACACTGTTATTAAATATATGCTAGATAGTCAAACAGCATATGTTCTATTTGTGTCTTCTGTTTGCTTTACAGCTTTCTCTATAATGAAGTTCTCAGATCTGTTTTTAGATTGGTTCCAGAAAAAACCGTGTAAAAAAGACATTGATCATATGCTAAAATAGGTGCTTGGTTCCTCATCTCTAATACAAGGTGCAATTCAAAAGTTCCAGGACTTTTATTAAAAAACGAAAACTATTTTTTTTTTTTTGAAAAATTTATTGGTCGCCTTCAAAATAGTCTCCTTCCGCCTGAATACAACGTTTTGCACGTTCAAGAAGGAGATCGAACGACTTTTTTAGGTCATTTGTCGGTATAGCGTTGAGGATGGCGGTCGCCGCCTGTTGGATGGCATCAACGTCAGCATAGCGGTTTCCTTTCATGGCCAAATGTAGTTTTCCGAAAAGGTAGAAGTCGCACGGTGCCATATCAGGTGAATACGGCGAGTGGTTAATGGTTAAAATGTGATTTTTGGTCAAATAATCGGTCACAATCGGTTGATTTTTGAGCAATTTTTGGTCGTCAGTCAATTTGTGCGGAACAAACCGTGCACACACCTTTCGTAAGCCCAAATGTTCGGTCAAAATGCGATAAATCGATGTTTTGGAGATGTTCAATTCCATTTCCATCGATTTCAATGATGATTTCGGCTGATTTTTGATGAATTCACGCACTGTTTTGATGGCATTTTTGGTGATCACGAATTTTGATTGGCCCACATGTTGATCGTCATTTATGTCCTCACGACCACTTTGAAAACGTTGAAACCACTCGTGCACTCTGCTACGGGATAGGCAATCATCGCCATAAACTTGTTTCATCAATTTCGGTAAAAGTTTTACCAATTTTAAAACAAAATTTAATGTTGGCTCTTTTTTTCGAAGCTCATTTTCCGACCGATAACACAAACATACTGACACTTAAAACGCAATAACTTCAACTTCACTTCCAATCGATGAAATGTCATAATCAATGAAATGTCAATGTCAAAATAAAAAAAACTCACTGGACAATCGATAAAGATAGCAGATTCTAACGCACCAGTCGACATATAGATAGCGCCACCAGGGGGCGCTAGCTTCAAAAAGTCCTGTTTACTTTGAATTGCACCTTGTATAATATATATGAACTTTTTAATTTTCAAACCGAGTTTTATCAAACTCGTGTAAAAAAAGACCGTGTAACAACAGAGTTAGCTGTATTGGAATATGACAAAAACATCGGCTCGCTAAATCCTAGCTATAACATAGAATGACTTGAAACAGTAGTAAGCCACCTTTCATCGATTCAATAACTTTTTGTGGCATCTGCTGACAAAAAAGACATGGAGAAAAGGCAATAGAAAAAGGCTTACAATACTAAACAAGACATCTGCCTAGATACAGAGAGAAAAGTTATGTTTGGAAAATGATTCTTTAATTTTTTATAAATATAATCTCCTTCTAAGTGAATAACTTGGGAGAAGCAGTATTAAGGTAGTAATAGGTTTAAAGTAAAGAAATTTAAGACTACAATCTTTAATTAATGTGATACATCATTAACATTGGCCCGTTCTCTGATATTTATTTTGCTTCTAGAAATTACTTATAATCATTAATAAGATTTTAAAAACACAAAATTAATTTAAAAATCTCAATTGCTGCCTTAATAAGTCTGTCTATTTTTACGAAATATCCATTAAGAGTTCTGTATGAAAGCGATCTAAATGATTTCTGAATTTTGGAATCATTTTTAATCAGTGATGAAGAATTGAATATCTTTGAATCTTCCATTATCTTATTATCTTTGAATATATCCATGATGTAGGGAAATATGACTGCCACAATATAAGTATGTTTATCTATAAATCACTAAGTCTTCACAATTATATCCTTCAACAATATAAAGAATCTCAAGAAACCCAACATAGCTATACCTATATCTATGAATGCTTAACTATTCTCTTTTGTGTACGAACATTATTAATATTTTCTGTTGCATCACTCATTGCATAAATTTCAGGAATTATTCCATCAAACTCCAATAAATCCATCTATTTTAAATAAATGATTTAGAGAAGCGGTTTATTATTATTGGGTGGTACCGCAATCCCTTTAAAAAATAACCAAATTCTTTTGCTGGAAAGTGAAAAGCGAATTCGGAAATCATGCGTTTATATACGAAAATTTCAATTAAACTCAATTAGATAACCGTGGTAAAAAATATAAAAAATATTATTATAATAAAATAATAATAAAAAGAATAATTTTATATTAATTTAAAGTGCAATACAGTAAGAAACAGAATTCTATGATAAGAGCAAGACAACCAACCAACAAATCAAGCAAATCTTTAACATATTCTTTGTAGAGCTGAAAAGCAAATCCCCATAAAAATTGTATAGTAGTTAGACCCTTGCATGTTTTTAAGTCTTAAATGAAAATTGTTTGTTTTTATGACTAGTGCATTACTTTATAAGAATTTTTCTTGTCGCACTAGAAAATAATAATAATAAATAAAGGTAAATTTCGTCCAAAAAGCAGGCCCAACTCTAGTACTGTCCATACTTACTGGTTAGGGATATTCGCTGATATTTGCAAGCAACAGCTTATTCTTAGCAAAATACCTTCAATAGATTTTAGCGCAATGTCACACTAATTTCGTCAACTACTATAAATAACTGTAAATTCAGTAAGGACATTCAAAATACATCATCCTTCAAACACAGTTATTAGTTGATTATGAAGCGCGGTAATGGCTTTCTGCCTTGCAAGGCTATTTAAACTTGTAATCAATTTGGCGAAATGTGCTCAACCTTGTGACCTTTTTTTTGTTGCAGTGCACAACAACAACAACAACAACAACAACGGCAGCATCAGCAGCAACGGCAGCAGCAATGCCAACCCATTCAAGAGCCAACAACTACAACTGCAACAGCAACAACAACAACAACAGCAGCAGCTGCTGCTGAATGGGAACGGCGCCGGCCCAATTGTGAATCCATTCCAGCAGCAGAATCTCTACGGGCAATTGACACTCATACCAAATGGCTTTGGAGGCAACAGCAACAGCAGCAGTCAACCTCAAGCGGCGCAGCTGCTTCAGCCCGCAGTGGCGGTGGCAGCGGTGGCAGCAGCGCCGACCCAGCAGGCGTCCTTTTACAATTTCAATGGCAGCTCTGTTGGCACCGGCCCCTACGCCTTGCCCCAAGCATTGCCGAATGGCTGTGGCTTTGGGAGCATCATGCAGCCGACGCCCGTCATGGCCATTGGTGGTGGCGTCTCAGCCTACAATAATCCCTTTGCGGTACGTGCCACTGAATGAGATGATGACGATAATGTTATTTGAATTGTACAGTACACGGTCTATATATTTATTTCTCACTCGTCTTTGTTTTTATTGCCATTCGCAGGCCAGCGGCGGCGCCATGAACACCAATAATCCATTTTTATGAGATTGGAGCAAATCGAACAACAATAACAATAACAACGAGGCATTGAACCAGCCACTTGCAACTTGGCTGAAACGTTGAACAACCACAAACACAACAACAACAACAACAAAAGAAATGAAAGAAAGAAAGCAGTTGAACAAAACAAAACGCAAAACAAAACAAAGTTTAGTCCATTTTATGAACAATTTAATTACAAATATTTGTATTTACTTGTTGCCTTTAGCATCTATAGAAACTTTTTCACTATCAAAACAAAAACAAAAATGAAAATGAAAGAAAACAAAACAAAAAACAAAAGAAAGAAAGAAAGAAATTATTCAACATGCAAAAATTTACAACGCAGCCAATGTCGTCTGTCTTTTGTCATTGTCGCATTAGCTTAACTTAAATACTATTTATAAAGCATACTAACCTAAGATTGAGCGATCAAGCGAGCTAGGCCTGTAAGTCGATTTATGTAAACATACTATACATATACATATATATACTATATATACATCTAAATATGCATCTTAAAATTTAATGTAAACTCTAGCCCCCACCCCCTCATCAGTTTAGTCAACAGTTTTGCCTTGCTATACAAATACAAGTATATATGTATTCTTTAATTATAGATTTTATTTTCGTGTTTCTCTCTTATTTCTTATCGAAATTGTTTGTCCCTTCTTTTTGTTTCGTTTCGCGTATTTTTTATAAATTTTTGCGCGTTTGTTTTTAGGGTACGAAGAAGCTCTGTCAGTTATTGATTGTGTGGCCTTAATAAGATTATGATACTATAAATTATGAACTAATACTACATATAACATGCAAAAACATGCAACTAAATATGTATATATAACAAATATATATATGCTTTTGTACCTAAATTAAATGCAGCTTGTTTTTACTTTTGTTTTAATGAAAGGGGGAGGGACATCTTTGCTCAATACAAGAAACAAACTAAAAGCTTGTTAAGTTGTACAAATTAAAAAGTACTTTTGCCTCAGCAAACATTAGCTGGGCACTTATTTTGTAAGTCTACATATATCAAACTATACGAGTATTCACATCAAAACTATCAAATTTGTACATTTTCTAGAGCAAAACTTTTAAAATGTCCGAACCGAGCCCGTAACTCATTATGGTTGACGGTATAAAAATGTTCAAGACTGTCTAATAATGGTTGGAGATGTTGATCCAAGAAACAAATCTTATTAAAGCTGTCTTTCAAACTTTTTAAAAATTATTGAAGACGTGGCAGCTGGTGGGTGATCAAGGCGAGCACGTGGGAAGACCTAAATGGATTGATCAATCAATCAACAACACCAGAAACACTAATATTTTTTGATGGTTGATTGCCAAGAGTCGTAATAACGGTTGTTGAGAGTTTGATGTTTAAAATGCGTTAAAGATGATGGTTAACAATAAAGAGATCATGAAGGACATTGTCTTAAATAAGATTGAAGAATGGTTGATAGAGTGGCTTGAAATAAAAGCAGTCATACATAGCGTTGAAAAAAGCTTGATAGACTGGCGTTGAAAATAGCTTAACTATTATTCAGGCCAACTGTTTAATACTAATACATCTAATTCTGTTTTTACACCGTAGATTGGTTTCTGAAAAATCCTGAAAAAGAATAAGGTGTCATCAGAAATTTTATATAAGGAAGAAGCATTGTTAACTTCTAAAGAAAATAACTAGAAATAAATTGAAGAGAGCCAGCCAGTCATGTCATGGAATTTATTTCAATATAATACGAGAAATATGCCGAAACGTAACGAGAACTCCTTGAAGCTTGCAAATAAGATCTTGAGTAAAACTTAGCGTACGAACAAAATACAATTCTCATCGTTTCATACTTGTCTTTCCCCACATGTTTTCTCTATAAATCGATTTTAGAGAGCTCGGTTCGAAGCGAATTCGGCTGCTAACGATTTGTAAGACCAGCGACAAGCTAACACTTGGATGTGAATACTCTAGTTATCATTGCTCCTCCACTTTATTCTATCTATGTACATATGTACTTGTACATATTCCAAATTGAAATTAATCGTACACAAGTCCAATGAGAGAGGTAGAGAAATTTTTTCAATACTTGAGCTAAAATATATTAAAGAAAAGCCTTATGTCTATATTAAAAATTCAACGTACTATAACAATAAAACAAAGAAAGCTAACGACACCCATGTAGTTTGAATTAAACGGCGAGCGGAGGGCATCGAACGATATAATCATCCATTTATCCATACCTTCACCTGCAACTCGACATTCAAATAATAAAATGGAGACAAATGTGCACACGAAAATGTTTAATTTATTTAATGTATTTTTATTCATTTCCGTTTCGGTATAATTTCTAGTTTGTTCTTCTTCTTTAGTACTAGTTGGTTGTTTGTTTTTGTTTCGTTTTTCTTTTCATTAGCAATTATAAATTATTTACGTTTTTATATTGTATGTAATGTATATTTAAAAATTCGCATATGAAATAAGTCGAAAGTTATTAAAACACTATTGGTTTCTCCCATCCTCCATTCCGATCTAATTGCCTTCCCTATACGTTTAACAAAACTCTGCTGATTTTTCTTTTCTGTTTTTTGTTTTTTTGTTTCTTTAATGATACGCTCACGTTTCGTCTAAAGCTAACAAAAAACAAACGAATGAAATAAAACTAAAATAAAAATAAAAACTTATATGGTACGTGTATGCTGTAATATTCAGAAACAAAATTAAAGCTGGAATCGCGGCGTACTACATACATACATACAAGTACGTATAGTATATGTTTAATATAAGAAGTGCTTAGGTTAGCATTGCAATTGCGTCAACTGTACAGTATGGCTTATATAATCCTTTAATGTTTACTTCTTCTCTTTTTCTCCCGTCACGTTTTCGCGTATGATGATTATGTTTATAACTAGTCGCCTAGAACAGCTGATTTAGATATTTTGTATCATATATTTTACTTTAATTGTAGTTCTTTCTTTTAAATGTAAATTGTTGTAACAAAGAGATGACTATGTGAGTATTGAAGACCAAGAACGGTGTCAATTTTTGCTAAATGAGGCAGTTGGAAATGAAAATTGTTTCTTCAAATGAAATTCAAATGTTTGCAGAGCTTACAATTTTCAAAATTTACTTTAAATTTCAATAAACCCTCCAAATAGAGTCGACATAATAGTTGTAGATGTTATTTAGTTATCTTCTACCACGATTTTCACAACCTTTTGTCCTACAGTTTTTCTGGCTTGTCAACTATTTTTGTAGACCCTGCAGGAAGTGTAAGTAGTAGAACTTATTAAATAGAAGCCGGCTTATCAAAATGCACCAAAATTCTTAATCTGAACAGAGCTCAGACTAATGAGAACATAAAAGTTCTTCAACGAGTTCAATCGAAATTATAAAAAGACAAATATATTCCAAATTACTTTCTCTCTATAGATTAAATAGCTCTCCAAATATAGTAAAATGTTTGTAAGAAACAACTTTACGACTGCTCCCATCTTTTTGTTTTTTATACTTCTTCAAAGACTGAACATTTTTTCATGTGATATATGGCTTATGCGTTTGCTTTTCTTTTGGGTGGTTTATCGGGTAAGCGGTTCTTTAATTTGTCGGGGCTACACACGCACACACAAATCATTGTGTCCACTTACATATTTACATAGATAAAAGCATATAGTTTTGCAGGTATATGATAGGTAGGTATATGTACTTATATTTTGTGATGCTTTGTAACTCTTGTGGACTCGTTTTCTTTGAATATAAATTGCAAGTAGTAAATAGTTAATACATATATGTATGTAATTCCAAAATACACTCATGTAGTTTACACATCTATATATATTTATATATATATATATATCTATGAATGATGCTCATGTAACTTTCTTAGCTTTGTCGCTGGATACATGTTTGTTTTCCCATTTTCTCTTTGTTTTCTCTGTATTACAATTGTTGTTTAAAAGCATTTGTATTCTTTTGTTTACTTGACTGTGTGTGTACTTTCCTACAATCTTTAATACTCTTTATTTATGTGCAATACATGTATGTATGTTTGTTTGTTTGTTTGTATATATGTATGTTAGGTTGATGTGGACATCTAGAAATGATTGAATTGAATTGTGAACTATTCATTAGAGATTTCTTAGAGATTTCTTGTTTACAAAAATAGGCATAGTGTAAACGTAAAAGTACAAACATAGCCAATGCCTAATTAAGCTTTAAATATATATATAATTTAATTTATTTAATTTTATAAAAGTACAAAAAGTCTGTTACTACTCTGGCTGACGACTAACTGCTTGTCTGCTTTTCTGTCCCTTATATCCTTTGTTATACAAGGTTTGCTTCTTTTTTATTTTCTTAGTTTTGTTCTTTGCCGTCTGTGTTGACAATGTAACGCATTAGAAAACCAGCCGATTTATATATATACACACACACATCGTTATCAAATGTTATTATGTATTGCAAAAAATGCGAAAGCATAAGAGTGACAAAAGTATTATTGAACTACACAATTTTTTCATTTACGAGCACACTTGCTCTTTTCCTTACTTGCATTGAGTTTTCTTGCATTATACTTGTAATGTACTGCCTTGGTATATCATTGAATTAATGTATGGTTTTGCCTTTCGTATATATATTGTATGTATATATATATATATATATGCATATGTTTCGAGAATAAGCCCTATTTAGATGAGTAGGTTACGCAACGATCGATGGCAGCAGCTGTCGCAGCAGCTTACGTGCCATTGGCCTTCGGCAATGGTCGCACCAAATACAGCTTCTCGCCCTGCTTGTTCGTATAGATGGGGGCTCTTTGGTAATGATCGACCAGCTGGTCTAGAGAATGGAATTTACGCTGGCCAATGCAGTACATGTTCTGCTCCACATGCACTCGGAAATGCTTGTTGCGGCCGGGAGCCTTTAGAGAAACCGAATAGTCACCCATCTGGAAGATAGGAATGGGGGGAATAACATGAAAATAATTCCAACAATTGAATATACTTTTAAATCTCACTCACATTAGTCTCACTGTCTCTGATGAGGAAGTCGCCATCGTGTCCATGTCCGTTGAGCACGGTATCGCATTGGCTGCGTGTTATGGCGCCATAGTACCAGGATTTGCCCGCCAAATTGGGACGCTCAATGGGCTGTGAGGGCTGCGATGGTTTGTTGCCCTCATTTCGTCGCTCCATGGAATCACCGCCGCCGGCACCACCGTTGCTGCCGCCATTCCCATTGCCGGCTGCTCCGCCACTAGTGTTGCGATAGGGTGTGGCCAAATAGTCATTCAACTCTTGTAGATAATTGCGTGGAACTAAACCGACTTGGCCCTGGTTGTTGCGTGCTTTGAACCAGTCTGGATCAGAGGCAGGACGATCGACAATCTCCAGACGATCCCCCTTCTCGAACGAGAGCTCTTGATCGTTGTTCGAAGTGAAGCTATAGAGCGCCACCTATTGAAGGATACAACTTTTCAATTGGAACCCATGTGTGTAATCAAATTTCGTCCAGAACTCACCACAATGTCAAGCACATTCTCGGCCATGGCGTAAGTGTGGATCTCACCATCATTATCACAATCTTCGGTTGTGTAGTTGCTTGGAAACCAGCCCACCGAATTGCCGCTCTGACCACGCCACCAGCCATCATTCGACTTCTCCAGTATAAGTATGCGTGTGCCCTTCGTTAAGGAGAGCTCATCGGGCTGTTGCGCCTGGTAGTTATATTTGACGATGGCTGTGCCAATGGCCTCGGCCGGATCGGGTGGCAAGCGACGCGACATGGTTGGACTTTCGATTTGGCGAGACGGTGAACAATTTGGAAGCGTCTTTGAACCAGATCCCTTTTTCACTTTTTTCTTGATGCTAAACGACAAAAAACGGAAACACAGAGAGAGGGTTAGAACAAATCCGCTTCAATAAATTAGAATGTGTTGATAGCCAACTACTTGTAAATTAGTAATTGGCAGAGGCTTGTTTCGCGGCCAGTTAGCTTGAAAGAGGACTTTGCCGCTACTTCTGTCATTTGTTTAATAGAGTGTGTATTAAAGATAAGGCTTTACGGGTATTTCAAAGTATTGTCTAGGGTTTGGTGTTTAGAAACAAATCACTAAACAAATAATATTGATTATTACACACATACACAAAATAATACAAAGAAAGCACAAATGAATTTTTTACAATAGCCGAAAGCAGTTCAAAAATATAGAATTACGAAAATCAAAGCAAACTCGATACAAGGAAAATATTGATTTATAGATTTTTTTTGTGTATTCTTTTGGAGGGGGGGTCTTGCTTATTATTTCTGCTGAAATCAGAACAAAAAGAACACTTAAATTAAATTGAATGTGGGGCATTTGCAACGCACCTGTCGAAGAGCGACGGCTTCTCCTTTTTCACATAATTACTGGGCACATAGCCGGACTGATTGCGACTATTCTGTACGCGCCACCAATGCTTCGAATCATCGAGCAGCAAATAGCGCTCGTTCTTACGCAAATCCAGCTCCTGAGCCCCCTGGGCCGCATAATCGTATTTGGCTACCACGTAGCAAACGTCTTCTTGAGATTTGCCTGAAATCACGCAGAGAATATATTGTTAGGTGAAGTTTTAAACATTTTAAAATCTATCTAGCCCCTGTACATCTTTTCTCAATGGGTGCAAAAAAATATCTGGAAGTTATTTATTTAACTAAAAGGAAATGGCCCTAGACAATGTTAATGTACTATATGTACACATAATTCTGTTTTTACACGGTTTTGATAAGACACGGTTTGCAAAATAAAAATTTTATATAGGGTTACAAGACATTATTCCATTTAGCACGGTTTAAACACGACTTTTTCTGGAACCAATCTACCGTGTAAAAACAGAATTAGGTGTATTTGTAAAATCCAGAGAGTAATTACTGTTGTCTTAATAAAAATGGCCAATTCTTTACAAAAATCCCTTTTAATAGCATTAATTTGTTAAAATAACAGCCTGTAGATTAAAAGACTGAAGGATGGCACTATCTAGAGCTGTCTTTCTGGCTGCACTAGTGGGCTATATGCCATAGTTCAATTGTTCCAATGACTAAATAATTGTATTAGTTAAGATATACACATTAAGAATCTATGTTATTTTTTGTACCATTTAGGAACTATCCATAATAGGGGAAATTTCAAATAAAATACCATTACGTATGTTTCCAAAATAGTCTTACAAACCCAAAGTGCAGGAACTTTTTTTTGGTAAAATTATCTTATAAATCAGCTACTCATTAGACCTAAATCTATGGTAAGGTATTCTCCAATTTTTACATTATTTACATTAAGAAGCGATCAAATTTTTATGAAATCTCTTGTAACTATAGATAGATGATTTAAGTGTCTAGTCTACAATGAAGATTCTACAGAATTATGATTTCAGTTTTTTAATTAATATATTTACTTAAATACAAATCTATTGACTGCTTAATATCCATATTATGTTTTGTTATAAATTTTTAATAATCTTTTAGTAAAAGCTCTGCATATAAAATAAAATCATATCTCTGCTGTTCTCTGTTCACTCTTCTAATATCAAGCAAGCTTTTATGTATGTTGTATATATCTTGTCGGTTTTGATATGAATATTAAATGATCTTAAAAGTAGGAAAGCTTTAGTAAAATTACATGTTGTTCAGATATAAATTCTATATGGCAGATGTTTGGTAAAACTTTGAACTTCTCATAAGTTTCAGTATTTAACGACCTTTTCTACATTTGCTCAAGAGGTCTAGAGGATGTTGATAGATGCGCATCCGACTCGGAAATTTGGTTGTAAAACTGCGCCTTGATTGTTTTCTGAACTCTTCTGTGCGCTTCCCTGTCCTATTCCCGTCCAATTTCTAGACCATTTACATTAAATTATAGCAGATCTGATTACAACCTCTCGAGAGTGTTGACTAATCCACCTTACTAATAGGGAAATCGACTTATAACTCTTACTAATTCAACCTTTATTATCTATTATTAAGACAACATTGTTAGGGAGAACAGGCATTGGAAAAGTTCTTAGAATTTGTCAAAGTTGAATATAGTGAAGAATTTTATAGCGATCTTACCGTGCTTCATGTTGCCCGCCATTGATTGTGTATGTCCAGCGTTGCCAGCGGCGCTGCAACTGGAATTGCCGCTGCTGCTGCCGTTGCTGTAGTCGATCGGCGGGCAGCCGCTGCTCGGTGACTGACCAAAGGTCACACTTTTGTGCTGTGCACTGCAGCTGGATGCCGTCGACAGTGTGCGATGATGCTGCAGCGCCTGCTGCGACAGCGATGTGTGACGTTGATGATGAGCTGGAGAGCCAGGTGCTGTCTTCTGCTGCTGTTGTTGTTGTTGTTGCTGCTGACGATAGAACGCCTGCTGATGCTGCGGCGGTTGTGGCGGATACTGCTGCGAATGCTGTTGTTGTTGCTGTTGTTTCTGCGAACTGCTTGAGGAATCGGGGAAATTGCGCGCAAATTGCTGTGGATATTCCAACATTCCACGTGTGGCTGCTCAAGGGCTTGGCTTGAGTGGCTGCCTTGTTCCGATCCTGACTCTCTTTATATATATGTATATGTATGTGTGTGAGGTCTTCCAGCAACGGCTAAGTCAATAAATTTACAAGTTGTGTTGTTGTTGTTGTTGATGTGTTTGTTTCTGTTGCTCAATAGTTGGCAGCAACAATGACAAACAACAACAGCAACAATTAGTCTCAAAGTGTCAAAAGTGTTGTTCAGTGAAGCGAGCTTAGTTAATTGAGGCAGTGCTTGTTGTAGTGTGTGTGTTGTTGTTGCAATTCTTCTGCTCGCTACAGTTACAGTTGTTGCTGTTCTTAGTCTGTTGCACTCTCAGTCTCAGTCTGCTGCAAGTTGATTTTTGGCATTGTTGTTGTTGTTGTTGTTGTTCTTGTGTGCGCCAATGCATATTGGCTCTACATTATTGACATTGGACGACATCGGCAGCAGCAAAGTAAGTATTCAAAATGCAGCGCAAACAAAGGCATAAAGTGAACCCAAAAAAGAAAAAACGAGAACAAACAAGAGCGAAAAAGAGAGTGTGAGAGAGTGAGAAAAATATTGAAATTAAAGAGTTTACTGAAGAAGCCATTTGGTAAAAAGCATTCACAATATCATTTAGCATTATAAAAAAAATCAAATGGAGCAACAATTCTTAAATAAATCAACTTACTATAAAAATGGTATATGTATGTATGATGTATGAGTGGATGGATGGATGGGTGGATGATGATGATGATGATGAATGATATGCCTAGCATCAGTCAGCGGAACAAAGATCAGCAGACGAGGGCCGTATTAAGTGTAGATTATAGTTGAACGACAGATGTCCACAAAAAACTCAAACTTGGTATCACATTTCAGCCTGCCTCTTTAGTTTTTGAAATCGAAATTCTCGGAACAACTGTTGCAAGTTTTTGTTTTCTTAATTATGTAATCGGGTCGTTTTTCAGTTAATCTCTACTATTACATGCTATAGTTAGTATTATTACTAAGGCGAACCATTTAGACTCTAAAACTGAGAGTAACTTTAGCAATGATTATAGCCATTTAAAAGCACTTGCTGCATCCCTTTTTGTATTCCCAAAATTTTATTTTAATAATTGTTCAACATGCGGTTCATGTACTTAAATTTTACTTTTCCAATATTATATAAAGTTATAGAATATATTTTTAAAATTAATGCTACATCTGTAAGATTTAAAAAGTTTTCTACAAGTTCAGTTCCCTAATAACATTGTTACTGTTTCAGAACGAGTCGGAGAAAAGAGGTTCGAACGCAAATAACCAATAACCTAATAATAGTTCAACATAGAATGGGTACTTGACGTGAAAGCACAATAATCCTTTTTGGATTTTTATTAAGTGCTATTTTAACGCTTAATATAAAGTCTTTCAAATGACAGCTTTAAGTACCACACTCTCCATCAAATAAACTCAAACAAAATATGACAGCAATCCAACTAGCTTAGTAGCATTTGATGAATCCATATAGCGTTTTGATAGCATATTTTTATAGTGGCACTCAGATGGTAGAACATGTTATATACTTGTAGTACATACTCGAAAATGATCAAATTGATAAGACAAATCCGAATCGTAGTGTATGTCCGTCTGTCTGTTTCAATCACTACTCGTTAACTTGTTTAGCTCGGTGTGTAATCAAAGAATTGCTTTTGAATAAATGAATTATGTTTTTTTATATAAAACTACCATGAATCAAACACTATATTATTATTATTATTGAAATGTAATTCAAATCAACTCAATATTATTGGCTAGAAAAACCACAAAAAGACCGCAAAGAAAGAAGGCAGCTGGTCGAGATTTTGGAAAGTCCGCACAAATCGCTTTGAATCGATACAAGTGGATGTCTTCCACTAAGAATGAAGCACGTGTACAGTCACAAGTATATAGACTGCTTAGCTTTTCCGATTCGTGAAAATCTTAATTGAAAGACAGGTGTCTGTTAGCTGCTGACACTGACATTAACAATAAGTGAAAATTGTAAGAATATCACTAACAAACACAATACTGATTTGAAAATAATTTAAATAGCGTCTGGTTATTTATTATTACTAATATACTTTCGGTATTTATAGTAGAAATTATTTATGGCGTAAATTAAAAACAGAATTGTGTATTTTACATTTCTGGCAGATGACAAACTTGGCCTCAATAATCCCAAGAGTAATTGAATGTGCAGATCGATTAAGCACATCAGCTTATGAGCAGTGGTTGCAACTCAGTTTGGTGACCCCGACATAAAAATATAATTGCTCTTCAGGTGACTGTACTGCTTTAAGTGAATTTACAGATGCACAGCTCTAATTCAGACAGGGATATCTTTACTTTTAAAATTTGAAATAACTACAGAAACTATAAACGAATTAGCTAAATCTTTTAATTAATCAAGTCGTCTTAGTGACCCCTCAGTTTGGTGACCCCCACGTAATTATATAAGTTTCTTTCTGCTTATTTCTCGTACAAACCACAAAGACATGCAAATGTTGCAAAATAAAAGGGGAAGTTGTTTGCCAATTACAAGACTTGCCGCATTATGTGAATGCCAGTGCAGGTAATTAGACAACTAAAAGAGACAGACAGACAGACAGGCAGGCAGGCGGGCAACAAAAACAGCAACAACACTATAGCTGCTGCACAGCTGCTGCAATTAAAAATGTGTGACGGAAAAGCAAGTGAAAGTTGGGGCCCAACACGCCCCTCTAACTGCTCTGGGAGATGGGAGATGCTGCCCAAAGGGGCGAGGAAGTGAACGGCTGTGAGTGCGACGAGCCAGCGAGCCGCATAATTGAATTCAATAAAACAAAATGTTAACAATTTTAGGTTGCACGAACATCTGAGAGACGCCAAGTTGCATTCATAAGCATATAAACACACACACACATATATATACATATATAGTATATACATGCATTGAATTCTAAAAATAGCAACACAAGTCACAAAAGTCACACAAACAGAGGCAGTCACATTGCTGGAAAGGTTGATAAATTGAGAGTGTTATTGACAGGGCCTGTGTGTGAGTTGTGGTTGTGATTGTTGTTGTTGTAGTAGTTGTTGCTGTTGCTCTACAATCCAATTGCATTTTTATTGGTTCGCCAGCCCCTTTAAATAAACAAGAATGGAGAATGAAGTCATTCCCGAATAAACAATTTCCAAGTAACTCTCTTGTATTTATGTCGATTCGCGTTCAAAGAAAAAGTTTTTCGGCCCACAAATAAGTAGTACATGCCAACAACGACAACAACTAACCAGAATACAAGCCAAATGCTGGAAGTGAGTCACGAACAGGAATCGGCATTGGTCACAAAAAGATTTATCAATGTGAAGAATAAAAAAACATGAAACCACATTAACTCCAACACGTTGAAGTTTCTATACACTTTCCAACATTTTGTTGTTTTAAGGTTTCACAAAAAAAGTAGTTATCGCAATATCTATTCGTTCCTTATCGCAACTAGCCCTAGAAGAACTAGGAATTCCATTGTGAGAGCAAAAATAACTAAATACAGTAATAGAAACTTAAACTTTCCCATAGACTTGGCAGATTTGAAATATTAGAATGATATATTTTGGCAGCTATGGAGGAAGAATTGAGATATAATACATTATAAAAAAATATTTTTGATAAGATCATATATTATGTGTGCCGCATAAAGTCCACAATGTTGGGAAAGTTGGCTATTAGTATCAGACCTATTTTGAATGAATGAATTTTTATCTATTCGGAATAAAGACAGTCAATTGTTCTACCTATAATAGGAATATGGGCTATTTAATACAATATTTTGTATATACAATATTGTTTTCAATATTCTACCTGAAGGAGCAAAAATGCTCTCATAACAAGCATTTTCATTTAACAAATTATAGTCAATACAGTATTTGTAATATTGTATTGTTTTACTAGTATATCGGTTTAGTTAACAAATACTTATCTACACATTTTATTTTATTTTATTTATTGCAATTCATCAAAGAGATAAGCATTCCAGGTAGTTATAAATGTGAACCATGTGTCACAAAGGCGATTTACTTTTCTATAAATATTAAATAGAACATTCCATTTTAGCACTGCAATTATAGTGCGCTTAAATGGAATTGAAAGCGAAAAAATGTATCACATTTTCTATCCCGAATGCAAAAAGAAGAAATAGCAAAAAATATTGAATATTCTTGCAAATGTAAAAGTACTACTTGAAGTACAAATGTTTTAATCCCCTCCAAATCAAACAAAACTTAAGAAGTGAATTATTTTCTGTAAGAATTCGATTCGGTTCGTTGCAGTGAAAACAAACAACTGTGCCAAATGTTCCTTAAATAATTTTAAAGTATACGTGATTGACAAGCATTCACATAAAGCTATATAGCCCTTTGAAAGTGTATAGAATTAAATACCCGCATACCCTCTAACAGCGTAACATTATGGAATGAAATTGATGGCGACAACGACGAAACGCCTCAAAAGTAGGCCGCCAGCGTTCGAGACAGATAAAGAGACTGTCAGACAAAGGAGCTGGAGTGTTAACAATCAGCTTCATTCAGTATTCGTGTGCTTTACATCACACATTTGGGCGATTTGTTAATAAGCCAAGAGCACAGTTCATTGGCCACGTCCATTTAAGTCCACATTAACATCAACATCAGAGACTCCATTCCAAATCAAAGTCAAAGTCATACGCCATAGGCAGAGTATTATCTATAATTATAGCTGGTGAGTCAGCTTCAAAGTCGTTTGAAGACAAATCTAATATCGCCAGAGGGCGTCGACTCCGACAGAAAACTTTGAGAATTACCTTACGCGTGATATTCGTTGTTTTCACTTTTCAGCACACCTTCTCAGACATCTGCGATGTGTGTGCGTTAGTTTGCGATATTTGACTCTATTAGCAAGTTGAAGGTCATCCAAATGCCAAACACGAGACATAACATAAGTAACTGCGTTTCTTTCACTTAATTAAAGAGACGGAAACAAACGATTTCCAAGGCAAAACCTATGAGTTGCAAACGCTTATTGGATGCTTTTGTTGTTGTTTCTTAGGTAAAATAACAAAATTGAAGCTTTTAGTAATTTCCCTGGTGCGTTATATATACATACTATTTACATATGTATGTGCCAAGCAAAATGTTGTCATCGGCATGTGTGTGCAAAAGCCCCAACTCTGAAGAGTCATCGCGATAAGAGTTTGTGGTTCGTTTAGTATACGGAGGAATAGCAAACATTTAGATTAAAAGTTACCTAAATAGCATTCACAGTATAGGTTGTAATCAGAGAAGAATGTTGGGTGTTTAGGAACAACTTGAAGTAGTAGATATAAGGATTATTAGCAATTAGTTTGGTATTTGCATTTGTTTAATAAAATTAGTTCTAAACAATTCAAAAGTTGTGGAG